TATCAACCCACCCCTCCACCAAGCAGGACGTCCTTCTCCAAGCACGGGTCTCTCTTGACAATATGTTCAACGGATGTTAGACCTCCTTAATGGTGAGCATTGTCTTTGAGTTCTGTGTGGCAACTGCAGTGAATTATCAAAGCCAGCAGAGAAGTACAGTGTTGTGAGAGACGGCGAAATGAAAAGTAGAGTGTCCATGTGGAACCTCTACATGGATCAAAAGCAGAACAAGGGACTACATGGTTCTACATGGAATCTGTCTGGAGAAAATATCTGAGAAGCTGGACTACATGAAGACTCAGGATCAGAGGATGATTCACTAACAATCTGCAATTGTAATGCAATGTAGGGACACAACTCTGCTGGTTGAAACGAAGACGACTTGAAGTACTGACGAATACAGGCCCCGGATTACACCTGAACATGAAGAAACCAAAGACTGACACATGGACAGATACACGCATCGTGATGAATGAAGACACTGACATTGCCGATGATTTCACTTGGACGAGCAATCCATGTGCACAGAAGCTGCAGTGGCGAACTCAACGATGTACTGCACCAGGGAACGGGCTTTTCCAAGTCTTGAAAAGCAGAGCCGTCACTCTGACGACTAAGACACAAGTGACCCAGGCCACGGTCTCACTGCCATCACCTGGGGCGCAGGCAAAAGCCAATGACAGACTAAGACAGCAGAGAAACTGACGCACGTGAACTGTGATGGGGTGGAGAATACGTGCTTTCCGAAGGTCTTAGACGACCCGTGAAAGGGTTGGTCGACCCCCAAAGGGGTCGCGCTCACAGGTTGAGAACCGCTGCTTTAGACACATATTTAGGAAAGGACATCGTGTTTGGTAGAGGGTCAACAAAAATGAGGGAAATCTTCAATGAGATGGATGGGTCCACACATGCCAAAGGTCGTGATGATAGCATATGACCAAGAAATGTTTTTTCTGTTAATACATAAGATTGCCAGGAGTCAGCTCCAACTACACAGGATTTATCAATATAAACAAATGTATGTGTATGCACAAATAAAATAAAGAAGAAAATGTAAAATTATAGCGTTTAAAGTCTGAGAGATGTAGATATGAGGATTATTTCTATTATTCAGCAAACTATTCTCTAAGTCTGAAACTATTTTGAAGTAAAACATGGAAAAGTTTCAAACAACAGCCCCATCTTTCTAACACCCATGCTGTTAGGCGCCATGGAGGTGGTTGCGGTTCACAGCGGGCCGATGCACAAGCATGATAACTTTAGGAATAATTCTTTTCAAAATTAAAAACCGTTTCTTCCTGCTTCCTTCTACCTCTGACTAGGAATGATTTTTAAAGCTGAAGAATCTGCCCTTAGAATTTCTAGCACCTGCGTGCTTGTATTCAACAGCCATCTTATGAAATTCCTACGAGATCTAAATGAAATAAATTCAGATGAGAGTAGAAAATGCAAAGAGCTGTGAAAGACACTGTTCCACTCCTCAGTGACAACTTTCCTCCGTGAGAGGAGGTCAGGATGAGGACATGGCAGGCTTCTACAGCTGGCGACAGAGTGAGTATCAGGATGGCAGACGGCACGCCAAGTTATTACACACTGTACACTTTACCTCAAGGGCACTGGCTTTTACCTCTGCTCTCTGTCCATGAAGCATCTTACATAACCTCTTCAGTACCCGGTAGAGAGAAACAGTGTGGGGTCCTTTCAGTAGGAACGGATCTCTCTCAAGCCTCTAGTGGGATGCATTTAGCCTACGCCTCAAGAGTTTATCTCATTTTGTGGTTTCTTTATGTTTGACTTTTTGAACTTCAAAAAGCATGTAAGATTATGTAGGCAAATAATTTGAAGTAAATCAGTCCATAGCAACTTGACTGGTTCAAAAAAAAAAGAGTTGTATTCTTAAGGGCCCAAAATGGCATCATAATGATGCCACGCAAACATGTGAAGAGGCAGCTCAAATGTCTGCTGAACACCTCCTAGGGAATATGTGAGGTAAAAAAGAATTGTAAAGAGAGATGTCTGTACTCAGTGAGCCCGCAGTCTGTGGAAAATGTGCTTTAAGGAATATCAAAACATGATTAAACGGCGAGAAACTCTAAAAAGCTTACACAAAGGAAATTTAGGCAAATTTTAATTTTTCTTCTAAACATAAACTTACCAATTTTCTCCTCAATTTACCAAGAAATAAGCCCTGAGTTATATAGTATGATTATTAACTTTTTATACCCCCATGTGAACAGAACTCATATCTGTATGTCAACATTAAATGATGGCAACTCTGATGGCATAGTGGTTATGCATTGGACTGCAATTCACAAGGTCAGCCATTCAAAGCTACCAGCTGCTCTATGGGAGAGAGACTGGATTTTCTACTTTTATAAGGACAGATAAACACCTCAAGAATAATAATGAGAGTAGCAATACCATGAGGGTAGGGGAAAGGTTGGGGGAGGAGGGGCAGAAAGGGGGAACCGATCACAATGAATAATGTATAACCTTCCCTACCCCCAAGGGAGACTAACAGAAACGTGGGTGAAGATATGAAAATAATAATAATTTATAATTTATCAAGGGGTCACAGGGTAGGAGGGTTGGGGTCGGAGGGGAAAAAGGGGAGCCGATACTAAGGGCTCAAGTAGAAAGAAAATGTTTTCAAAATGATGATGGCAATATATGTACAAATGTGCTTGATACAATTGATGTATGGATTGTTAAAAGAACTGTAAGAGTCTGCCATAAAATGATTTATTAAAAACAAAAAATGAAAGAGTTACAGTTTTGGAAATTTACAGAGGCAGTTCTAACCTGCCCTATAGGGTCGCTATGAGTCAGCATCAACTCAATGGCAGTGAGTTTTTGTTTTTTATACTTCATTTACTGAGCTAAATATTGCTACCTTATGGGGTATCACAAAAGCTAACATTGTATAGATTTTTCATATGCTTTCCTGACATATTTAGAATACAGAATACTGTTCCTGATTTATTATAAACCAGGGCTTGGCAAACTAAGACTTCCAACTAAACATGGCACAGTGCGCAACTTAGAAAGGTATCACAGAGCTGGTGTACACCCAAGATGTTGATCTTTATGTACTCCATTTTATTTCTGAGGACCTTCAATTTTCATAGATTCATACTTCATAATTCCAAGTTCCGATTAGTAGATTTTTGCAGCTGTTTCTTTCATTCTGAGTTGTGCCGCATCAGTAAATAAAGGTCTTGAAGACTTGGCTTGCAGGCTTTCCTTCATCCACGTCGCCGTGGTCGATGTACTTTGAGAAAGCAGTTTCTCCTCAGTCACATTTCGAGCATCTGCCAACCCCGAGGGCCCGTCGTCCTCGGCACTCTCCCTGATGGCGTTCTGCGTCCATTCTTTAGACCTTCCGCGTCTGACACGGTCTTGTTCCCGTGCAGAAGGTTTCCGCTGGCTTCTTCCTCCCTCGTGGGACGCTGAGCCCCTCTTTGCTGTCTGTTCTTAGTCTGGAAGCACTGCTGAACTCACCCTGGATGATTCTGCTGGCATTTGAAATATCTGTAACACAGCTCCCAGCAGCACAGCACTACATAGCCCACCACGATTCGACACAGTGACAGATACGTGGTGGGGACTTGAGGCGTACTGCTGGTGATTTCATGACAAGTAGCTACTCATGAAAAGAAACTGATGAGGGAGGGTAAATACTTTGACCAAACTACACACCCTACAAACATGCCAGGATTTAAATATTGGCTTACAGACTCTGCCTTAAACACTGTGTAACAGTAGTACCCTTTCACAGGATATAGTGCAGCAGCTTTCTGAGAGCCAATAGTTTTCCCCTGCCAACACAAGGCGTAAAAAAGTCCCAGCACATCACTTTTGAATGGCTTCCACCTTGATAATAATATGAATAAGCACGACATGGGAAAAGCACTCTATAACACCCCCCTAAAAACACGCATGAGTGAAGTCAGAATTAAAAACAACCATACATGTTTTTCAAACATTTTTCTCCCCTGGATTTTGCAAGCCCCTTTCTGCTTTTCTACTTAATTTTTGGCCATCTTAAAATATTACTTTTATTTATAAGAACTACTTTCAAAACAAAATTTCCGATGTATTTGTTTAATCCCTATTGAAATGGCCATATAATTCTCCTCTCCAAATTTATAAGAGATTTTACCAAACTATGTTCCATTAGGCAACAAAGTATAGATCAATCTGTGATAAGTCAAGAATAATCTAGATGTAAACTAGATGGAGGGAGGAAAGGGGGATGGTGAGCCAATAACAATGAGTACAAAAAATTAAGAAAATCTCATAAAATTGATTGTGGCAATGATTACACTCTTATTATATATACAAACCAATGGTTTATATGGTATGTACATTATGTCAATAAAACTGTTATATGTAAAAAAAAAAAAAAGAACAAACTATATAGCACTTAGGCAGGAAACAAACAAAATACAACTCTTAAATAAATAAAAAGCTCTAAGGGAAAATTTAAAGTAAAAATTTCCCTAATGTACACCATATAGTAAAACAAAAGTTATAGTAAAATCATAACACTTTAGAACTGATTTAAAAGAAGTTAACTTCAAATCTCCAAGCCACTTTGAGAGAAAGGCTATTTAGTTAATTTTAACAGTAATGTAGGCAGCATCAAAAGCCTGGCTATGTAGACACACAATATGTAAAGAAAACAAGATTAATTTAATCGTTGACGTCCCTAATCTGGTGAGATAGCAATGACAGGATATAGAGAATTGGTAAATTATACTGACATTCTAAAGCCTAATATTACCAATATTTAAGTTTAGAAGTTGAGAGACTTCCAGGTTGAGGTTTTCGGGCATATGGTACACCTCGTGTATCTATGTGGAGAGCAGGTAAACGGTGCAAAGAGAAAGAAACAAGGAAGGCGCAAGTCACACAGCTGGCAATCCTGAAACTCCATCGACTGAGCTTTGTAATTTCGTTAAGATTTGGCATGTTACATTTTTGGATTTTGTACTCACCTAAACCTTTTTGCCCGGGGTTCTTAGCAAAAGTAAAGGTAAACTGATAGAAATCTTTAAACTTCATTGTGTCCTTAAGCTCTTGTTCCAATCTTGGCAAAAGGATTTTTAGCTTTTCTGAGCTATCACACCTGTTACATGAAAGAGAATTAACTGTCACTTGTGGCAGACAAACAGACACATCTCCTCAAATCTATTTTCCTTCTTTTACTTGGTAAGAATTTGATATGCTGCAAGGCACTGTGGCCGGAGACTCCAGTTCCCAGACTCTGGCAACTTAGTGTGTCCTAAGACTAAGCTTTTAGTGATGAAGAGAGCGGAAATTTTGTGGGTTTTCTCTGGCTTAGGAGGAGCTCGAAATTCGCTGCAATTGACAAGAAGGGAGCTGCACAATGCCGGGAATATACTGAAAGAGACTGAATCATACACTTTAAACTGGGGAATTGTATATGCACCAGAACATATGCATTTCATGTCAAAAAAGCTGTTCTAATAAATCCACAACCCTTTTCTCTCCTGCTAAATGAGGAGCCCTGGTGGCAGCATGGTTATCCACTGGGTTGCTAACTGCAAGGTCAGAAGTTCAAAACCACCCGTTGGAGGTCCATGGATGAACGATGCAGCTTTCCACTCCCATAAGGAGGTACAGTTGGAAAACGAGAGGGGCCATTCTACTTTGTCTTATTGGAATTGACACAATGGCGGTGAGTTTTGTTTGGATCTTTTTTTTTTAGTTTCTGCAAGATGGAGTAAGGAAGCAGCTTTATTCATGCAGAAGAATACAAAGTCTTGAGGATGCAAGAGTAACAAGATGGAGAGACATCATTTTCTGAGTGGTCTCATAAGGTGGAGCCTACTGCTGATGCTGCACTATAATGAAATAGAAGATCAAACTTCTACCTTATTCAAATGACTGTACTTACAGCAGATTAACTTGTATACATACTAATACAGTTGTTGCTGCTAGTTACTATCAATTCATTCCCAGACTCACAGCAACCCCGTGCTATTTAAAATATTTAGGGGCTATAAAATTCAGCTCTATTGTTTTAAAATTGGATTTTCTTCCAAAAAGTCAATAATATTTGAAAATGCAAAATAGCAGGCACCCAGATTAGTCGTATACAAAACTTGTCATTCACTATTTCAACTGTATATAAAAGCAACATATTACTCACCCATTACTCACCCAAAGTTACTTATCCAGCAGCTTCACCCATGTAGAAAAGAATTAAGAAAATTGGACAAAGCCTTGGAAAGCATGCCTAATAAACACATATACGTAGAAAAGTAAAATATGCAGCTTAAGGTGATCATGAGAGAAGCCACCATCTACATCAAGAAACAGAATGCTACAGACACCTCAGAAGTAGCCTGGGGTTTTTTCCAAGCACAGGCCCCTCTCTTCCACAGGGAGGAATTTGGCAATGTTAACTTGTATGTTAACCACTTACCTGTTTTTCTTTGAATTTTCATCACCTAAGTAAGCATTTCTTACAGTGTAAGTTAGTTTTCCCTACATATTAGCAGTGTAAAATGGAAGCTAAGTTTGTGCTATTGTGTATGTTGTGTTAAGTATGGTTATGTGTAGCTGTGGTAGTTTCCCTTTTACAGCTACATAGAATTCATTATATTTGCATTTTACAATGTGTATACCCTAGGGACACATTGAACAATAATGACAGAAGACCCGATTAGCTGCGGGAGGACATTAAGAACATCATTCATGAAGAAAGAAAAAGGCGATTAAAAAGGCAGGCAGAAAGAAAAGCTCAACGTGGATGTCAGAAGAGACTCTGGAATTTGCTCTTCATCACAGAGTAGCTAAAACAAATGGAAGATATGATGACATCGAAGAGCTGAATAGAGAATTTCTGAGGGCAACTCAAGAAGACAAAACCAAATATTAGAATGAAATGTGCAAAGACCTAGAATTAGAAAACCAAAAGGGAAGAACATGCTCAGCATGTCTGACACTGAAAGAACTCAAGAAAAAATGCAAACCTGGAGTTGCAATCTTGAAAGGTTCTACGAGAAGAATATGTAGGCAGCATCAAGAGAAGACAGAAAAAATACAAAGTCACAGTACCAAAAAGAACTAGTTGACATCTACCATTTCAAGAGCTAGCGTATGAGCAATTACCAACGGTGGTAAAGGAAGTTTAAGCGCACTGAAAGCATTAGCCAAAAACAAGGCTCCAGGAACTGATGGAACACCAACTGAAATGTTTCAACAAGTTGATGAAGCTCTGGAAGTACTCACTTCTCTATGCTGTGAAATAGGGAAGACAACTTGGCCAACTGACTGGAAGAGATCCATATTTGTACCCATTCCAAAGAATGGACGCTCAAACTATAGAACAATATCACTTACATCACATGCCAGTAAAATTTTACTAAAGATATCCAATAACGGTTGTAGCAGTATATTTACAGGGAGCTGCCAGAGGTTCAGGCTGGATTCAGAAGGGAACATGGAACAAAGGATATCACTGCTGATGTCAGACGGATCTTGGCTGAAAGCACTGAATATTAGAAAGACATTTACTTGTGCTTTCTCGACTATGCCAAGGTATTTGACTGTGTGGACCATAACAAACTACGGATAACCTTAAGAAGAAGGGGAATTCGAGAACACTTGATTATGCTCTTGTGGAACTTGAACGTAGATTAAGAGGCAGTTGTGACAACAGGACAATGGAATATTGCATGGTTTAAAATCAGGAAAGATGGGCAACAGGGTTGTATCCTCTCTCCCTACTTATTCAATCTGTGTGCTGAGCACATCATCAGAGAAACTGGTTTATATGAAGAATGTATAAAGAATGTGGCATGAGGATTAGAGGAAGCGTTATTAACAACCTATGACATGCAGTTGATACACCCTTGCTTGCTAGAAATTCAGAAGGAGGACCTGAAGCACTTGCTGATGAAGATCAAGGATTGCAGGACACACGGAATCCAGGAACAGGAATGGGAGTAGCGATACCAGAAGGGCAGGGGGAAGGTGAGGAAAGGAGGGGAGGAATGGGGAACCAATTGCGATGCCCGACACAGAACAACACCCTCTACCCCATCCAGTGGGAAGAATAACAGAAACAATGGGGGAAGGCAGACAGCAGTCGGTGTAAGATATGAATAATAATTTATAATTTATCAAGGGGTTATGAGGGTGGGGGTGAGGAGGGAGGGAAAAAAGAGGAGCTGATACCAAGGGCTCCATAGAAAGTAGATGTCTAGAAAATAATGATGGCAACATATGTACAAATATGCTTGATACAATTGATGTATGGATTGCTATAAGAGCTATAAGAGCCCCAAACAAAATGATCTTTAATATTTAAATAAAAGTTTTAAAAAGATTGCAGCCTTCAGTAAGGATTACAACAACATAAAGAAGACCAAAATCCTCACAACTGGACCAATAGGTAACATCATGATAAACGGAAGAAAAGGTGGAAGTTGTCAAGGATTTTGTCTCACTTGGATCCACAATCAGTGCTCATGGGAGCAGCAGTCAAGAGATCAAAAGAAGCATTGCATTAGGTAGTGTTTCGTTCTGGAGGAGAAAGATGAGCCTGTTTGCTCCTGCAAAAGTATATTATCCAGGGTCACTATGAGTCAGAAATGACTCAATAGCACAGGATTTTGGGGGCTCATTCAGATGATGGATTTCTTTACGGTGTTTTCTGGATGATAAAAAGGTCTTTTCTCTCTTCCTTTTTTTGCATAGTACACGCTATACAATGTGCAGCCTTTTCTTTTACAATATATTTTTTTGGGTGCATGTGTGTGATGTGTTTTAAAGTATTTGCTACTGAAAGGTCACAGAGCCATTCACCTGTAGTTTCTTCCAGAGCTTCGTATTTTGCTTTTGCCATTCAGACATGAAGGTCTACAATCTACCTGGAAGTGCTATATGGTGTGAGGTAGAAATCAAGGTTACCTTTCCCCCCCCTTCATAATAGCTGATTCTCCTGAGAAACGTTCCTTCTCCACTTCTTGAGTGGGTTATTTTTGTCATAAGCCAAATATAACATAGGTTTGTTTCTGGGCTTTCCATCTGTTCCGCCATCTATTATGCTACTCAACACTAGGCAGTCTTAAATCACTATAGTTTCAAAAGTTTGGAGTGTCTGGTAGAACTAATCTTCCTACTTTGTTCTTTCTCTTGCAGAATTTTTGGCTACTCTTGATGGTGCATTTTCACATATATTTCAATTCAGTTTGGGAAATCGCATATATAAGTCCATTACTTACTAGGATTGTGACATATTGCATAAATGTATAGATAAATTTGGTGGCAAAATATTGAGTCTTTCAATGAATGAGTTCTATTTCTCCATTTATTCAGATTTTCTTTCCTCTCAATGAGCTCAATGTGTTCTGTATGGGGATATTGTACATTCTTAATTAGGCTTTCTTAATTATTTTTATTTTTGATACATACTTGAGATTATATTTTAAAAATTCATTTTGCCTTGTTGCCAGTATTCTGATATATCATAGATTTTTTTTTTATCCCATAGTCTGGCTAAATTTACTGATTCAAACATTTTGTCAATTAGATTAGCTAAAACTTCTTGTTCGATATTGAATAGAAACAAGCTTTCCACTCTAACTGTAGCGGCCTGGTTTGCTACGCACTTGACCCAGAAAACCCTACAAAATCCTGCAAATCAAGAGGGTCGAACCTCCAGGGCCACTTCAAGAACACTGGTGAACTGCCCAAGCCATCAAAGGCGAGCACATCCGGAAAGCTGCCAAATACTTGAAAGAGGTCACTCTGCAGAAGCAGTGTGTGCCTTTCCAACACTGCAATGGTGGCGTGGGTAGGTGTGCCCAGGCCAAACAGTGCGGTTGGACCCAGGGTCGGTGGCCCAAAAAGAGTGCTGAATTTTTGCTTCACTTGCTTAAAAATGCAGCAAGTAATGCTGAACTGAAGGGTTCCATGTGGATTCTCTGAGCACATCCAGGTGCGGACTTACAGAACTCGTGGTGGATCAACCCATCCATGAGTGCCCCCTGCCAGATTGAGATGATCCTGACTGAGTAGGAACAGATCGTTCCCAAACCAGAAGAGGAGGTTGCACAGAAAAAGATTTCCCAGAAGAAACTGAAGAAGCAAAAA